CCCACCAAAAACAACAAAAAAGCCCACTAGATTCTAAATTTAATACAAGTGGCGAAAGAAAACCAAACCAAACCAAACAGAAGAAAAAACAAAACAAATAAACAAAACCTGCCAAACGAGGAAAAAAACCCAACAAAAATAAAACCTTAATCCAATACTAGTGGTGGAGCGCGAGTCGTCTCATAGTCAGGGTCAGTGTGGGACGGAGTGAGCGAGATTCTGTCTGTGCCTCGTTGTTGTAACGGAGAGCGAGTGGGCCATTCACGCTGGCATGATGATCAATCAAAAACGCCTATTCTAACGGAGAATGTTCTCGTTACTTTTTGAAATACATGTAGTTTGTTCGATACATGATAAACACTCTGTGCGCTGAGCCAACAGATTCCATTTCTTTTCTTTTGCACTTTGTCTTAGCAATGAGGATTGCCAGGAAAGGCTGAAAGGGTTTTACAGTTTTGTTTCGTGTTTGTTACTCAGCAGCAGTGAGATCAGATCCAACTTTTTGAGGACGCGCATTTGAATCTGCAACAATGCTTGTGTACGCACTGTTCTAGTGAACTTTAAAGAAGAAGTAGACGTATTATTAAAACTTCGTTATTCATAATTTCTTTTTCAAATCAGTTTTCTTTATCTAAAACTTGAAAGAGCAGGCAACAGTATGCATACTGAAATGTGCAAACTCGTGTTTCTAAATTGTACATGGGTAGTGCGAGTTGGATACCATATAATTTTCGTTGCATTGTGTATAATTGTTCAAATGTTGTGCAACTTTATCTTTGCCCTGTGCCTGGTCGGACCTATGTGCCTGGAACGTCCATTAATAGCTAAGCTTGCTCATTAACTACTTACTACAGGCAGTGTGCAGCGATTTGTCTTGGCCTGAGATTCTGTGGGATATGTTTCATCAAAGTCAGAGAGTAGTAGAGAGTTCTGCCTAATGATGTTTGTAATGTGGATTATTAGCTTATGATTTGTTGTACAAAGAAGTCCCAATAAGATTCAAAGGGGACACATAATTAAACTTTACTTGTGAACCGGGCTGTTTCTCACTGTGTGAAACGTTTTCAAGATATTAATTATTCCCAAAGAATAACTTTTGATAATATTTCTCACAAAAATGCCGTTTCTATTTTTACCTGATATCAGACAACTGGCCTTTTTATTCGCTTTCATGGGGTTGAATTTAGTTCCCTGTGGCAGTTTGGGATTGAGCAAGCTGTATCCGCCCCACTGTGGGGACTCTCCGCATACACCGAGTGTCGACCAGGCGCCAATGTCTGTTTACAACGCGCCAGCACTTGTGGTCAATGAGATACTGGAGTGCGGCTGGGATAATTTGGTTGTCGTCACTGGTTCCGGAGAGGAGGACCAGGAGCTTGCTTCTGTCTACACAAGAATTCTGACCCTGCTCCAGGAGCAGTGGATCTTCGTTCTCCATTTTACCATCGTTCATGAAGCCACAGTGAAAGACATGCTGACATTGCTGCGTGAAGTAACCGCACACACGGCTGACGTTAAGAATATTCTTCTCTTGACGGAATCTGCCCCAAGGCTTTTAAAAGTTGCGCAGAACTATTACTGCAGTGGACATACCATTTCACTGAACGTCTGTCGGGCCAGGGTAGCCATTGTCAGCAAGCTCGAGAGAGTTAGTGAGCTTGAATTACAGCTCCAAAATTCTGAATTCGATAACATTGTTATATTCGCAGCCGGACATCCACAGGCGTACACTTTGATGTGGCGAGAGAACAGAACCCGGCAGCTGGACACAGTGGATACAATGACGTCACGGTCAACAGACTGGGACTGCGCCATCCTGCCCAATTTGAAATTCGGCCTGAACCAGAGGAGGCTCAGATCCCTTACCAAAGAGTGGGCGTCTGAACTATACAAGGTGCGTGACCCCAAAACTGGCAACATCTACTACGACGGTTTCCTCATTGACGTTCTAAACACCCTGTCTGAAGTGCTCAACTTTTCTTACGTTCACGTGCCTGGACCAGCGCTTGACGACTCGCTGACCTGGGAGGAGTACCCAAAGGTGATCGCCCGCGGGGAGGTGGATTTTGGCGCCACTCTCTGGCCGGCGAGCACCGTGTTCTACTTCAACCACTCCATCACGTACAACGTCATTTTTGCCGCTTTTACCGGCGCCTACATCTACGAAGACAGTGCGTCAAACCAGACGCTCGGCTCCCCGTTCATGTTTATTATATTCTCGCCCGCTGTGTACCTCCTTATTGTCGCCAGCTTTCTGTGGTGTGTGTTCCAGTATATTGTCGTGACGCTCTGCGAGTCTCAGCTAGAGTACACTGATGGAGTCACCAGCAAGGACCATACCTGCTCGCATGGTCAACACGGAATAGACACCTCGGTCTCGCCTCAAATCGCTGGGAACGGTAACGAAACCGATGTCGAATTTCAACGAAAAATTTCCATCGATGGCGACTGTGGGGAATCACCATGTTCTAAAAAAACAGTTGACATTCTGATATCTGAAAAGTCCAGGCCTTTGTCAAGAGCTGTCTGCGTAGGTAAAAAATATTCCTTCATGGTTACAGTTGCATTTGGGTTTTGGGGTGCGATATGCAACCAAGCTAGTCTACGCTTGCATAGAGGGTTGAGTGCAAGAATTATATTCGCCACTTGGTGTATCGCGATTGGTGTTCTTTCTGCGCACTACAACGGCTCACTGACGGCTAACCTCATAGAGAAATCAAAACCTCTCCCTTTTTCAACTTTCCAAGAAATGCTGGACCGTGGTGACGTAAAATGGGGAATTCCCTATGACGTATCCCTTATACGAGTGTTGAGGGCGTCACCGCACACTTCCATCTTGAGACGGGTTTACGAGGGCGCTGAGTTTTTCACAGAAGATAATTCCACGGCGTCCGAAAGCAAAGACGCCCTATTGTTCAAGCTGCAATCGGAACGATATTTCGTCGTCATTACACTCCGCTACATCCTAGAAAGAATGAAGAGAAAGAAAAATCCTAACATCCTGTTGCTAAAAGACGACCTCATGCGCAATGACCTGGGGTTCATCATGCCACGCGACTCCGAGTTGCTAGACATTTTTAACCAAGAGCTCTCCAAGATGACTCTATCAGGAGTTATGGATTACCTCAGACGGAAATGGAAGGTTCGCACTTCCGGTGGAGTACAATCCAAGTGCACAAGTAACTGCCTCACTGAAGGGGGCACTTTGAAATTCGAAGACCTTAAAGGATTTTTCTTCTTTAGCGCTCTAGCTATTATTGTGTCTGTTGTTGTTCTAATTGTTGAAAATATGTATGTAAAATGTAAGTCATGGAGAGACAAATCCTCGAAACAGGCTTAAAGTGGGGAAAGCTGTGCAAAACATGGGTCGGAGAAAGGTATATTCTACTTAATCTGAGCAATAGTTACCCTCCTCACTCTCTCTCTCTCTCTCTCTCTCTCTCTCTCTCTCTCTCTCTCTCTCTCTCTCTCTCTCTCTCTCCCTCTCTCTCTCTTTCTCTCTCTATCTATCTATCTCTCACTGTCTCACTTTTGCGTATGTTCAAGCGTCTGCATATGTGAGAGTGTATGTGCGTGTGTGTGTGTGTGTGTGTATGTGTGTGTGTGTGTGTGTGTGTGTGTGTGTGTGTGCCTCTCTGTTTTGAAGTAAAACACACAGCACACTCGTACGCACACATACATACTTAATCTTAAACAATCACACGAACTTACAAACAATAAATGTAGAAATGTGTAATTGTTCGTTTAAATTTAAAGAGCAAATCGCACGTACTTATTATATTTTTCTCTTTTTTTTTTATTACAGTAAGAATGCACTGTGTCTTTACATGTTTATAATAGCCAAAGAAAGCACTAAGACGTTCACATACCGGTGCGACTTTGTTTTGTTTTTTATTCCTCTTCTCGTACGTACGTGTTCGTTGAACCAGCACATCTATAGTATACTAGTAACTCCACAAAATCTGTCAGCTTTGAGAATATGTATTAAAGTAAAAGACTACGACGGCGATGTAGATCTATATTTCATCTTAAGAATTGACACTACATGATACGTTTATGAGTTCTACTAAGCTTTTAAATGAAATGATTACTTTCTCACTGTGACAGATATCTTTGCCCAGAAGAATGTAATATCGAATCAGCAGCAGGTCATATTTGAAATACACAGCTGAACTACGTGTTTATCTGTACTCTTTTCATGGATCCCAAAATTGACTTGATTTTGTTGTACCCTTGATGGATCATAATCCCCGGGGGCACTTCTCTTTTCAAAACGTATCTTGTTAAAAAAAAGACAAGAAACTTAAAAGATGGTTGAAGCCTTCTCTCAACACTTAGAAGGATGTAATGTGCTCATCTTCAAGAATACACAATCTTACCAGGCCGCTTGCTAGACATACAGCAAAAATGTCATCAATAAGGAGGATACAGTGAGTGTGCAAAAGGGACATTAATAGGCTATATTATATATTATACTATATACCAGAGGCGGCTCGTGGGTCTAAAAAGTGGGCGTGCAAAATTAGGTTAAAACAGGTTGAAGATTTTCAAGGGCTTGATAAATGAGATGTTTTCTTCATCCTACCTGTTTTGAGAAAATCTATTTGAAGAAGTCTTCCTTTCGTTCTTTTGCCTCTAAAATGTCCATTATTCTGTTGGGCATACTGTCAATGATGTCCTTGTGGATCGATATAGACGTCAGTGCAATTTCTAGGACTTCCCTTTTTGTTTTGCTTGTTTTAGTGGAGGTTTCACGGCGCAAGCAACTGCATAATGTCATATGAGCACCTGGAGATTAGAGGTGTTACAAGGGAGTAACACACATAAAAAAGAAGGAGGGGAGGTAAAGACGATAGATGTTTGATAGGAAAGAAGGAGCAAATCACACCAGAGCTAGAATTTTGCCTACTTCTCTGAATGTTGTGTTCAGTTTGTAGTCCTTCTTATTTGAATAAAGGCCCTGAATGTACGACCCTGAGCGGACTTAAATATACCATTGCAATGTCATACTTATAATTCTGTTTGTAACTTGATTTTATGCAAAACAGTAATATTAATTCAGTTGTTGGTGTTTTTTACACCCCCATCGACATAACTCAAATTATTTAGCATGCGGGTTTTTGACCCTGCATGAAATGCCCCACATTCTAAGAATAAATTAAAAGGGTTTTTATTTATGGATTTGTGTGTGTGTGTGTGTGAGTGTGTGTGTGTGTGTGTGTGTGTGTGTGTGTGTGTGTGTGTATGTGTGTGTGTGTGTGTGTGTGTGTTTGTGTGTGTGTGTGTCTTTATGTTCTGTTACGCTCGCCCTCTTTGCCAACCTTTTCTTGACCATGTTGATGTTTAATTAATGCTAATGAGTTTTGACCGTGCATCAGAGGAATTAACATTGCTTGTGTGTACCACCATTACTCATGAACGATGAGATAAGAGAGACAAGGTGGCGAT